CGCTGGGAAGAAATCCAAACGATATATTTTTTTTTATTGTTCAAATTGTTGGAAATACATGAAATATCAAGTTTTTCAAAGTGAGTGAGCAGAGATTGGATGATTCTTATATTATTGATCATTATATCCTCGATAATCAAGTTGATTTAAATAAGTTTTTCCATCATTTCACACATCTGTCTTACATATATTATTTACATTATTTAACATATATAACATATATATCTATATACATAAAAGAAAGTCATAGTTTTCAATTCAGAATACAGACGTGAGTTTTACTTCTAAGATACTAATTTTACTGTTTTTAAATCAGGTGAGGAAACTACCAAGAAGGTTAGTTCGATGAATTATTATGCATATCGTTTAATGATTCATGAAAATGCTGACAACTATTTGCTGCGATTTTATAAAAACAGAGCGCCTAACTTATATTCGGTTGAACCAAGCCAAACTACGTTCGGAGGAGTACAGTCATTTACGAGATGCAACTAGCACTGACGGAGGTGCAGCTAATATTGGTCGTTTGACTATTCGGTAGAATATGCCGGTAGGCATCGTACACAGGTAGTCCACGTCATATGAATATGCGCAAGATGCAATGACTTATGTTCTATTCATTACGTTTACGTGTAATCCAAAATGGAAAGAAATTGTTCAAATGCTGCTTCCTGGACAGACATCAAGTGATCGGCACTACATCACTGCACATGTATTCAAGCAAAAAATTCGTTCGCTGATGAACTTAAAATTTAATATAACATTCATTGACTGTTACGCGGCACGAAATTCGCAGAGTCATCTATTAGATAGGACATATATAAGAAATAATCAAACAAAGCTTTGTGCAAAAATTTTCTATTCAAGATATAATATACATAATCTTAAAGCTTTTAGAGAAGCCATGCCTTCGAAATCATAGGTATTCTAAATAGGTATATATTCTTGATCAACACACCTAAACAAATCGATTAAATTTACAACATATTTCTATCAATCTATCTCACAAAAAGCACAGCCTGTTTCAATATTTTTGGTTTAGGTGAATGAAATAAGTGCAAGTAGCCTATGTAACTGTCTGAGGAACACTGCCGTTATATCAGATATGCTACATGAAGACAATTTTAACATGGCAATTTGTAAAAGAAGTAAATGCAATTCAGTTCATCTTATTCAGTCTCAAATATTGTGGCTGAATCCATGGTAAATGTTACAGAAATCCGTGTAAGGAAATGCTTTTTATGGCGGTATAAACTTACTCAAAAAATGAAATCAATCACCTTAATGTCATCAAATCAATCTGCAATATTAAACCTAAGTATATCGCAACCCACTTTCAAAGTTAAATTAAATCGCACATACTTTCTCATTAACAACAATATTCGATAACTGAGAAAGCCTATTATTCTAACTGTAATGTTACACAATTTGTTTTTATTTTACATACTAAAACCCTTTGCTTTAGCAATTTCACTGTATTTTATTGATAATATAATTCAATGAAATGAGTGCTGTAAAACACTCACAAAACAACACAGAAATGTATATAAGTTGGCGAAATTAGTGCAGAAATTAGTCAGAAATGCATTGCTACAGCAAGAAGAAGATGCAAAACGAACATGACAGGATTTAGTTCTTTTCAATTTATTAATATCTAGGCACAGCGCTTACTCTTCAAAAGGGTATTTCAATAGATATATCGGAAAAAATAACAACGAAACAACGACGAAGATAATATTTGAGGCTACTTCAAAAGGAAAGAAAAGAAGAATATGTTCACGAAAACTATGTAGGCTAGGTATAAAAGATGATAGGTATCATCTTCCAGTTTCAAGGATAAAAAAGGCTGTCTGAAAATAACAATATATGGATGTGATTAGTTAAGTAATTACAACTCACCACTAACTCTGTGCTAGGCTAGTGGATACCCATAACTTAACCTCATTGACTGTTTTTTAATTTATTTAGATTGATCTTGTGAAATGCACTTGGGGTTATAAAATAAAGCTGAAAGTTAAAGAGATTAATTATTTCACTTATAGTAACAGTTCTATAGAATGGTTCTGTTTAAATAAATTAAATACCGAAGTTCCGCTGTTAGTCCGAAGTACAGTGTGAAAAAATAAACGATTAAGAAGCAGTAAAATTTACTTTCATGCACTTTATCCGAGTCCACTTTCATGGTTACTAGACAATTGCATTTTTATTATTAAGATTGG